TGTTGTCCGGACCGATGCTCCGGGCTGTAGTGGAGGTTGAGCGCCTTTGCCCTGTTCAGCCCCGTGGCTCTGGGAGAAGCGCCGTGTGCGGTGCCGGGCTGAACGTGACGTCGGGGTTGAACGCGGACAGTTGCGTGTTTCTGCGCGGGGAGCGGGGCGTCGCGGTGTCCGTCCGTGCCGAGCAGCGCCGGGGACAGATGCCAGTGCCACCGGTGTGGTGCCAGGACCTGGGGGCTTCGTGGCCGGCGTTAAGAAACTGGGATGTTGTAAAAGAATGGTAAGAAGAGATGAAGCCTGGCCTGGGTTTCTGCTGGTTAAAATCCCAGCGCCCTCGGAGCGATGCGGCCGGTGCCCGGCTGGGCTCAGCACCCTGTGCCTGGTGCGGGGTCCCCCGGGACCGCCCGTGCCCCGGCCCCCGCGCCGCTGGGGCTGGATGTCGGAGCGGCTGGAGCCCCTTGTCCGCCTCGCTGGCAGCTCCCCGTGATGGACTGCGCTCTGCTTGTTTAGGTTTTGTTTCCAGCCACGACATTCGACCAAATTATTCTCCACCAAGGGCTTTAAAGTTTCCCAAGTGCCTGTGAAAGCCTGGAAACGCTGATAGTGATCCTATTTCTCAGCTGTGTGACTTCATTCAGCCCCAGCCATATTGATATGCAAAACGTTGAGGGTCCCGGCTCGAAAGATGGTTTCTGTCTGCCCTGTGAAAGGGAGCCGTACTTTTTTAGAGCCCGGGCCTTTCTAAAGCCGCACAATACCATATAGACTATGCCATTTAGAGCATCTGAAGCGACCCAAAATGTATTGAAAGCTTGCTTTGCAGACTCATTAAGACTCCTCAATAGGTTCTGGCAAATCCCGTGCCAGGGCTGACCGCACGGATTAAGACTTTTGAAGTGTTACACAAACCCCCTGCTTAAACTAATTGCTGCCCCGCAGCTCCCGAGGTCAAGTATTTGTATTCATTGCCTCCGAGAGGAGCCACTCCGGGGTCTGTCCAGGTGAAGGCTGCACTTCATTAGATCAAGACAAGCACAGCCCGTTGCCCCCCGGGGGTTGGGGCGTTCCTGTGGCTTTCAGGAGCCCCGGCGGAGCGATGCTCTTCCAGCCGAAGCTGCCCGGCGCGGGACGGCGGCTGGGCCGGTGGCTCTGCTGGGATACTAATTAGGGGACCTAATATATGCTTCAAATATCTGCAGGGTGGGGGTCAGGAGGACGGGGCCAGACTCTGCTCAGTGGTGCCCAGCGACAGGACAAGGGGCAACGGGCACAAACTGGAGCAGAGGAAGCTCCAGCTGAAGATGAGGAAGAACTTCTTCCCTCTGAGGGTGCCGGAGCCCTGGCCCAGGCTGCCCAGGGAGCCTGTGGAGTCTCCTTCTCTGGAGATATTCCAGCCCCGCCTGGCCGCGGTGCTGTGCCCCCTGCTCTGGGTGACC